AAACTTCGACTGGTCATAACTTTTTCGTTATAACTCGGATTTCAACATTCTTTATATCACTGAAATCCTTGTCCCGACCAATACAAATTTCTTCATAGATATTTGGTCTATCTATTATTTTATTTTTTTATTATTTACCTTATTATATATTATATAAACATGCTTCATGACAATCATAGTTTATTGCATCAAGTTACGTTCTGAATACAATGGTATATGGTTGAAATTTAGACCTAGTTTTCTCTAGAATTTTTCAAGTTGTCACATAATGGATTTCTATTGGGGGCCTGAGCAGTAGGCTGCATTTGAGACACCGAGGCTGAAGTTATATGAGGCAACGTAGGTGGCTTGACGTGGTCAACTGAATCTGAATATGAGACATGGATCAGTCGTATCTGAATATGAGACATGAAAGAGTTACCCATATGCTGACTGGTTGGTCCAGGTGGTCCCGGTTGATGACCTCCTTTCCTTCGAGTCCCTCTAAGCAAGGTCTCTTTGATTCTTTTGAGATTTCTTTTGGTTGCATGATTTCATAACACTTTAGAGCCTGGGGCGGGGTTGCCAAGATTGTTCCCGGTCCCTGGCTCGTGCTAAATTTGAATATCCCATGGATAGTAGAGGATATTGCCCTGAATTTTAGTAGGTCTGTCTACCCCAATATGACATTGTGCTTTGAGGGATGTCGCACGATGATGAAGTCAATGAGGGTCTTATTGCATTTGTTTTTCTCGTGGATGGTGAGTGTGAGTGGTAAATGGATTGTTCCTAGGGGTCATATGCTATGCCTCGTGAAGTCGGTAAGCTGGCCTGGTGCCAACTTCAACTCTTCCTTCCACTTGCCCGACAGTAGCCAGAAGCAGTGTTCGTAGATGATGTTCACGGAGCTTCCTGTATCGATATATACATGGTGAATGGTGATGTCTCTAATGGACCCTTGAATTATCAACACATCGTCCCCTCTCCATCTCAGTGGCCTTGGATCAGTTATTGAGAAAGTCAAACCTCACATTAACCCTGTGATGTTGTTTATGTTGTCTGTGCGTTCCATCCCTCCCCGCTTGTGATGTATCGTCAAAATCTCTTGGCGGCAGTTTCCTCCTCTAGAGTTATCTTTAGGGTTTTCTACGTCAAACTTCACCCGTGGCTTCGAGCGATCTCCAATATGTTTCCTTTTAGCTACTTTTCTTCTATTTCACGCTTCAGGACTGAGCAATTGTTTGTGTCATGCTTTCTGATTTCGTGATATTCGCATTAGCATGCTTTCGTTCTTCTTGGTTGCAGGTTTATCGATGATAGTGTATATTTCTGCTCGTCGTCCTCGTTTGTCGTCTCTTGCAAAAGTCCTGAGTCGTCTGTCCCGTTCGTGGTACCTATGTCCCGCTCGCCTGCCGTCCCATCTTGGTCGGTGGATCTTTCCGGCTGGGGTGGATATGGCATTTAGGTACGCTTTCTTCGAGGCATCCCCTTATTCCTATCGTAAGTACCTCTCCACCTTTTCTTTTAGTTTTGCTCACGTCTAGGGTTCCTTTCCCATAAGCTTCTAGGAAAGCGGGCCAGGGAGAAGGCCCCACATGAATGCTCCGATTATTAGTCCCTCGCCGTGCCCTAGCACGTCGAGGGTTGCATTTGTGAACCGAGTAAAGTACTCCTTGACCGTCTCCCCCTCCTTTTGTTTACATCCGATTATGGAGTCAGAATCGCCTTTGTATCCGCGCAGCTGCATGAAGTTTGTTAAGAAAAGTATTTCGGTTGGCTAAAGTTGTAAATGCTTCCTGGTCGGAGTGTCTTTAACCACTTTCCAACATTTCCATCGAGTGTTGTAGGGAAATATGTACACCAAAAACGTTCATCAAGTTTGATGGATGTCATGGTCCATTCGTACATGTCGATGTGGCTATCCGGATCTGTGGTGTCGTTGTAGGTTTTGAGATTAGGTAGCTTGGCGGTATTGGGTATCTCATAGTCTAAGAGTTCCTTCACGAATGGTGAGGTTACACTTCTTGAGAGGGATTATTGGTTTGGGGTTTGTTGTGTATATTGGTAAGTGGGTTGTTGCATCGCCAAGTATGGTTATACTATCCTGTTGTTGAATGCTGCCAGGTTTGACGATGTCGGGTCGTAGAAGCTTTGTGGGTGGAATGAGATGGGGAGTTATTGGGCAATATGAGGTGGTTTGTGTTGTTGGAACGTAGGAGGCGGCTGTTGGGTTTTGAGCAATTTAACACTTCCTAAGTGTGCATGCAACCCTAATAAACCTTGGATCTATGTTTGTCTAAATACATGCAAAATAATAATTTTCCAAGGTTTATAACATATCTAACATGGCATGGGGAACATTTCAACATAAAAGAGTTAGAAGAGATTACATACCTTTTGATGATGAGTTTGGTTCTAAGGAGTTTGAGGGCCAAGCACCAATAGTGTGAATGCCTCAAATGGAATCACAACACCACAAACTCTTGGAAAACTTTGAGAGAGAATACACACTTGTATTTTCGGCCACACACATGCACACACACTAGTTCACTAGTTTTTCCTTAGGCTCCATTTCATGCTCCATAAGCATGCTTATATAGTGTGCATGGTTAGGGTGAAACCCTAATAACCCATGACCTTTCCTTTTCCAAGGATCCATGGGTTAAAAGCTCCATGGATCATCCATGGACTTCCATATAATCCTAGCCCATTAACAAAAGAGCATTATCCCACACTATATAAAATATAATAGCCCACAATTAATTAGTCTTCCTTTTAATCTCTAAATTAATTCATAATTAATTTAAGACTAAGACTAATTAAATAACATGACTCATATTAATATAACTTATAATATATTAATAAACATATGTGTATAACTCTCATAAAATTATCCATAAATAGTTTGGATGAGATGCAACCCAAATGGACCATGTCGGGTCGGGTCAAGTATATACCAAATAAGTTATGGACTTAGACACCTTATCCAACAGCGACATGGTGCCCACCGTAAATGTTATAAAGGGTGGCATCTGGAGTATGGTCTGTGGCCTGTTGGGTGTGCTACTTTGTTGGGACATCGATGTTTACAACGAGGATGGTGCTCCACTGGTGGTTTGAAATGTTATTGGTGGTAACATTTGCACAACTTGCCGTGGATTGTTAATTGTCTGGAACACCGGCTGCAAATGGGGTGTGTTGATGTTATTTTGTCCACCAGTGGGATGGAAAATCAGAGGTGTTATGCTACTAAAGATGGACAACATGTATTGGTTATGAGGTGTGTGTTGGGATTGTGTCGTCACTAATGACAGAGTTTGGCCGCTGGATGGCGGTACATCATTTGTGGTTATGATGCAGTCTGTCGGTGTCACGGGAGTGACAACTCGTTCTAATGATGTTATTGGTCGTATCTAGCTGTTCTGTTGCCCTGAGGGTCCACCGGCGGTTTCGTTCGTCATCCTGAAGGTGAACCAGAATGTGGTTTTATGTATCGTTTGTCACACAAACGGACGAAGCCAAATTATGCGACCTTAGTTCCGACCACCTGCTCTCGGATTGTTCACTGTGGTCGGAGGGCTCTACAAAGTCACAATAAAGAAGGCCGTTAGCCGTTTCCCAGGAGGAGGTCATGAGAAGACGCTCCGATGGTCAAGTAATTGGTAGATATCTGGCTGAGAGTGATGAGTATTTAGAGAGATTACTTACTTCTCAAGGTAGGGCAGAGGCCCTTTTATACTAAGGATCCATCCTATTCCGTACGGGGAACAGACATGGGCGGATTTAGGGGGGTTCCAGGGTGGCACCGGCAACCCCTAAATTTTCCGACCGCAGTGGAAAAATTTTCGAATTTTTTTAAAATTTTTATTTTTTCTACTATCGTGCAACCTCTAATCTTCCCGTGCAACCCCTACTATGAAATCCTGCGTCCGCCCCTGGGAACAGGGACTGCAGTTCCGACATGATTCGCTCCTCTGATTGGCTCATCGTGTGCCCTGATGTGTCAGGGCCAACGATTGGCTCAGGCGCTAGTGTCCTGGGCGTATTCTTTATCGCATGGAGCCGTTGCATTTGTCATGTAGCAAGGATGCTCTTGGCGAGGCCGAACTTCTTGTGCGGACGTTCAACCTTGAGGGAATGCCTGCGTGCTAGAGCTCTTACTGAGATATCCAAGCCGAGCCTGGCTGAGTTAACTGGGGGATCATTCGACCTGACGATCCCGTTTCTGGCCCGCGCTAGGAGACACGTCATCACTAATCATCAAATAAATTCTATTGAGCATTCTATTCAAACACATTATAATTGTTATAATAATATGATTTTTTTTAATATAATATTTAAAATATTACTTATCATTAGTTAATAAAAACAAATTAGAGAGCTTTCTAGGTCAGCGTAATCCTACCTAAACCATTTTGATTGATGGTAAGGTTATACGGAATGAAATACATTTTTTGAATGTAAGATGATATGGAAGGGGTATTACGCATGAGTTGGAGGGAAATCCACCCCTGCATATTGGTGCTGTGAGTTTTTGTGAGTCTATCTACGGAGCATGCCAATCGCTTTCTTAGTCACTCTCTCTGTATCTCTATCTTCTTTCTTTTTTTCCCTCTGCCTCATTCATTTCTTGCTCCCTAAACACCATTTCCGAATCCTAGTAGCTTAAATGTGAAATGATACGACATATCTTCACACATAAATGCATTGTGATATATTCGGTTTAGCCTAAATAGTCCAGCCATTGCATTATAAGTTTTGACTGAACGTGATAAGAATGTGGGATCGTTTATACATGTGTATATTGTTTTGTAACCCTATAAATAAAATATATAATGACGAAAATAAGTACTTTTTGAATAGTTTTGTGGTTTAAAAATTTATTTTAGACATAGCACAGGGGGCAAACATGTGCTTTTCAAATTCCATTACAAATAAATCGTAAATCTCGTCCGATTCAAGGGAGAAGTCTGTACTCACCAACTCACCCATAAACCCCTTCTCTCTCACTCTTATCTCCAATGGCGTCCTTCGCCGCCGGCGCGGGGCAATTTCTCAGCCTCCATCAAACTCGCACCCGTCCAAAACTACACTGTACTCCATCCTCTGCCTCTATTACAACCAACACTATCAGATGCCAACAAATTTCGTCTCAAAACCCTAACAAACCCTTAAAAACCCGGCCCTCAAAACCCCCCGTGCTTTCTGTTAAGAATCTAGCCATCTCCGCCGCGGCTGGTGTTTTATTTCATGTAGCGTTCAAGAGTTCTTCCCTCTTCGGTTTCGGCGGTGGAGGAGGTGGCGGTGGAGCCAGTGGAGGCGGTGGAGGTGGAGGTGGTGGAGGTGGAGGTGGGTTTTGGAAGAGGCTGCTGTCTCCTGTTGCTAATGCAGATGAAAATCAATCTCCAGAATGGGATGTTCATGGTTTACCATCTGATATCATTGTTCCATTGAACAAACTCAGTGGATTTAAAAAGTACAAGTTATCTGCGATCGAGTTTCTTGACAGAGTTAAATCTGCCGTTGTAGGTTCAGAGGATTCGTTTTTTGAAATGGTTTCTCTTAGGGCTGGTGGCGTTTACACCAAAGCTCAGCTTCAGAAGGAGCTTGAAACCCTAGCTACTTGTGGTATGTTTGAAAAAGTGGATTTAGAAGCGAAGACCAACCCCGATGGAACCGTTGGTTTAACCGTATCATTTACGGAATCCACTTGGGAAGAGGCTGAGTACTTCAAGTGTATCAATGTGGGGTTAATGGCGCAATCAAAAGCTGTTGAAGCAGAAGAGAACATGACTGAGAAAGAGAAGGTCGATTATATGCGGAACCAGGAAAGAGATTATCGGCGAAGAATGGAGAGGGCAAGGCCATGTATGTTGCCATCTACAGTCCATAGAGAAATCGTGAAGATATTGGGGCAAGGGAATGTGAGTGCTCGGATGTTGCAAAACATTCGTGATAGGGTTCAGAAATGGTATCACGATGAAGGGTATGCTTGTGCTCAGGTTGTGAATTTTGGGAATTTGAACACGAACGAAGTTGTTTGTGAGGTGGTTGAGGGTGATATTACAAGGGTTGTGATTCAATTCCAAGATAAACTTGGAAATGTATGTGAAGGGAACACCCAAACTGGAGTAGTGAGGAGAGAACTACCTAAGCAGGTAACTCTAACCATCGATTTTGTCCACTATATGTTTGTATATCATGATCTTTTTCATTCATTTATCCGTTCTTGATGTGGTCATGTCATTTACAGCTTCAAAAGGGGAATGTTTTCAACATTGAAGCCGGGAAACAAGCATTGAGGAATATTAACTCCTTATCTTTGTTTTCAAATATCGAAGTCAATCCACGACCTGATGAGAAGAACGAGGGAGGGATTATTGTTGAGATTAAGCTTAAAGAACTTGAACAAAAATCAGCCGAAGTCAGTACTGAATGGAGTATTGTTCCTGGACGTGGAGGTCGCCCTACTTTGGTATACTACATTCTATTACTTTATCATTCAATTCTGTGATTTCAAACTTCCTATATCAAATACCCTTTTTGTTATGCATTGTTTTAGGCTTCAATCCAGCCTGGTGGAACTGTTTCTTTTGAACATCGGAACATCAAGGGGCTTAATAGATCAATTCTTGGCTCTGTTACCACAAGTAACTTTCTTAATCCTCAGGTGATTTCTCCTTAGTCTTGTTAATGATCTCACCATTTTGTCAAGAACATTGGTAACCCTATGGTTTTGTTTGCAGGATGATCTTGCTTTCAAGCTGGAGTATGTGCATCCTTACTTAGATGGTGTAACAAATTCCCGAAACCGTACTTTGCGTACAAGCTGCTTCAACAGCAGAAAGCTGAGTCCAGTGTTCACAGGTGGGCCAGGAGTAGATGAGGTTCCTCCTATATGGGTTGACCGAACTGGTGTTAAAACCAATATCACTGAGGTAAATGTAAATCATATATATAATATTCATTATTATGTTAAATTTTGAATTATGTTGATAAATTTGTTGTTTTGACCAGAATTTCACTCGTCAAAGCAAGTTTACATATGGGATTGTAATGGAAGAGATAACAACACGCGATGAAAGCAGTCATATTTCTTCAAATGGGCAGAGGGTATTGCCGAGTGGTGGCATTAGTGCAGATGGGCCTCCAACAACACTGAGTGGAACGGGTATTGACCGAATGGTATTTGCACAAGCAAATATCACAAGGGACAACACCAAGTTTGTAAATGGAGCAATTGTTGGGGAGAGGAATGTATTTCAGGTGAGTGTAATATTGGGATTTGGGATTTTTGTTGTTGCATTATTATTATTATTATTATAATTGTAATATTGGGATTTGGGAATTGTAGGTTGATCAAGGGCTGGGAATTGGAACTAAGTTCCCGATTTTTAATAGACATCAGCTGACAATGACAAGATTCATCCAATTGATGAAAGTGGAAGAAGGTGCTGGAAAATCCCCACCACCTGTGCTTGTTCTTCATGGTCATTATGGGGGATGTGTAGGAGACCTTCCAAGTTATGATGCCTTCACTCTTGGAGGACCTTACTCTGTTAGAGGTTACAACATGGGAGAGATTGCTGCTGCTAGAAATATCCTTGAGGTTTCTTATCTTATCTTACGTTTCATTTTCTTTCCAGTTAAATAAGAAATGGGCATTGATTTGTATAATTGCATTACAGGTTGCTGCTGAGCTACGCATACCAGTGAGGAACACACATGTATACTTATTTGCAGAGCATGGGAATGATTTGGGGAGTTCAAAGGATGTGAAGGGAAACCCAACAGAGGTGTACAGGAGAATGGGTCAGGGATCCTCATATGGTGTTGGAGCCAAGCTTGGTTTGGTACGTGCAGAGTATGCTGTTGACCACAATTCGGGGACTGGTGCCTTGTTTTTCAGGTTTGGAGAGAGATTTTGATTTTGGTTTTTATACGGTTTTTGCAAGTTGGATTTTGGGTCGATCTAATGTTGGAACTTGGAACTTGAGTGCTATGTGTAGAAAATTCGTGATTTTGTTTCATGGACTTATTTGAGAATTGAGATGTACTTATTAATACTTTACTATTACATTCAACAAACACCCCCAGGGGTAAATTGTGTTTGGTGTGGTCTGAGTTTTTATTTTAGTTGTGGGTAACTGGGTATGGTTCTCGAATATGTCTCGTGTAACAAATGCAACTAAAGGTAAATTTATACCACCTCTTATGCTCTTTGAAGTTGGTTTGTGATGGAATGGGATCATGGGATTGGAATCGGCTGTTTAATTACATAATATGATAATAAGTTTGACTATGGAAATTCAAGTCCAAGATGATGCTTGGTTATGTGTTTGAATGTTTCCATCTAGGTATTAGGAATTGCGCAAAAATAAATTCTGTGATATAACTTGAAATATATGATTAAATCACATGTTTATTAATTTTCTGAAAAATACAATTGTCTTGTCAAATTGAAGTGTATTATTCCATATTAGAAAGGGATTATGGCGTGAGAGTAAAAGCCGTAACGACTTTCAACCTTGTTTATATTCATAAGGGTAAAATGTGAAAAATTTCAAATAATTCATGGGTAAATCAAACACAAAAGTGAATAAAAACTTTAATGACCCCGCATACATATAGGGTTTGTGGTCCCTTTGTGATTTTGTTGAACTAATTTATATTCCAATTAGGGGGTTGTGTTTCTTAAGAATTGGAAAAATAAAAAGGAAATTTCTTATGTTATGATTTTCGGGGTTGTAAGGGATTAGTTTCCTCCTATCCATCATCATGATCATCCCTATCAAATTGAATGCAACTCTAAAAATGTTCAACCGACTCTCCATGTGGAATTATATCACCATCATCAATCAAAATCATTAGTTTTGTCTTATCATTCGCATATTCATCAATATCAACATTAAGGTTAGTGTGAATAACAATCTTACCTTTAGACATATAATCATCTCCATGTATAGGGTCATTGTAAGAAGTAACATGGTTGTTTGTCATAGGTAATAAATTACAATTTTGGTTATTTCTAGTACCGGAAGAACTATTTTCAGAATGATTTTCCCTGGGAAATTGATTAGTACTACTTTCTATAGCATTCTTAACCACAAACAATTGTACTGTGTTGGAATGCATAGTAGTAACAAAACTAAGAAAATATCTGACATCACTATAGTCAAGAATCCGCATAACTATATATGATCCAGGACATTGAAAAGATAGACGAATTTGATTAGTGTGTAACCTGGACTTGGAAGTAACCAACGTAACTAACTCAACAAAGTTGATATCATTGTTTATATCTATACCAAATCATGTGGAATCCGGAGCAAGATACTACATACATCCGTTGATACACTGTCATTTCCCTCCACTAGAAACTGGAACTCGGAAGAAACCCATATATGTATTCATTCCGGAACGTTTATGGGAAGTATCGAACACACAAATATATTAAAAACACAAATGTATTGTATATTTGGAAGAAAAAACATATAAAACTCTAAGTCTGACTCTTAGGAACACCACTTCGGAATGTACGGTCGTTCCAGACTTCAGTCTGGAATACACTTTTTTAGGCCGGAAGGTACGTAGTGTTAGATTCTGGATCTTATCCCTACCAACCGACACCAACTCCGAAACAAAATCATAAATATTCTAGAATATCGTATTCCAAATCAAGTGGTTATTTAAAAAAAAAAAAAAAGAATTGTTGATTATTTTATTAAAATAGTTGTTTATAACTAGACAATTTTCCTATAATAAAAGTTGTATTATAATGAGAAGCTATCGCATCGTATGGCAGAGGATTGTTCTACCACCGTCCAGATCGACGGCAAAGCTCTATCTAATCCACAATTCACTCGAACACAGAAAAATATATTCTAAAGAATCCACCAAGCCAATTAGCCAAAAATATCCAAAGTCGGTACTTTTCTCTTCACTTTTCCTTCCCGAAGTGGACTTTAACAATAAATAATTCCGCATCCTATCAAATATCTCGCAACAGTTGATTGGGATCCAGCTTCTTCCTCTCTAATCTTCATAATTGTCGTCAAGGGTTGGATGTTTCTCCAAAAATCCTTTTACTTGTAAAATTTTGTATAGCTTTATGGCAGAGGAAGTGAGAATTACAGGCTACGATGTCGATGTCGATGTCGGTGGCGGCGCCGAGCATGACGGTCGAGTTCTGGAGTGGGAGGCAGGATTGCCGAACATAGATGATCTGATGCCATTATCACAGTCGATGACCTCTGTTGATTTCTTGTCGGCGTTCAGCATCTCGCCGGAGCCTTACCGGAGTATGTTTGACGTCAATCGTGCAACTCAGAACACGATTTCAAATCTCCGGGGGGAGTTGGAACAGCAGTCGTTGAACAAATTGAATAGTTTGAAGTCGTTTGGTGATGATAAAGGAGATGAGATGGTTGTGGAAGGCGACGAAACCACCGACCTAACCCGCGGTGCTTCGGATTTGCAGAAATTACAGAGAGTCGATGATGGCGGTGGAGCTGGAGAGGAAATCGCCTCCGCGTTGCTAGCGGATGATGATTCTTCGGCTAGGGCATCGAAGCGACCTCGTTTGGCCTGGACGCCTCAATTACATAAGCGATTCGTTGATGTTGTAGCGCATTTGGGCGTGAAGAACGCCGTCCCCAAAACTATTATGCAGTGGATGAATGTTGAAGGATTGACGCGTGAGAACGTCGCGAGTCATCTTCAGAAGTACAGGCTATATCTGAAGAGGATGCATATCCAAGGTCCTTCGTCTTCGGATCACCTTTTCGCTTCAACTCCGGTTCCTCAGAACTTACACGAATCCGGCGCCGGTGGTACTGGTAATGGGCATCATCATGCTCCAGGGGCTATTCCGATGCATTACCACTCACAGATGGTTTCCATGCCTTATCCATCACCGCAGATGGATCCTAATTTTGCAGGTGGTGATGGTGGAGGTGCTTACCACCATGGGTTTGAGTCCCATTCGTATCCATATAACATGACATCGCAGCAGAGAGACTGGTCAGCCTATCAGCATCGTATGACTTCTAACGATAAATAGAAATTCTGTACTCGTTGGAGATTATCCAAGCAATGGTTTGATGAGCTTCTTCTTTTTTTAATCCCTTTTTGTGTATACTTAAATGAATATTGAATCAATCCTTCCTTCATCTATGTGATTCTTAACCAATAATCTAAGTGTTCCTTGATGTTTTTAAAATTGATGAATTCTGTATGAGGGTCTTTTAAGTATACCACGATTAATTAAGTCTGATAAAAGTTTTGGAGGTTCTAATTTATCTATCTCATGTGATTTGACTGATTTCATATCTATCTTGTATGTGTCTATGTGTTCTTGTTCTTTTGAAGCTGTTAACAAACAAACTGGTATACTGATTTCTTGAACTCAGACAGATTGATAGTGAGTGATTCAATGGGACCATCTTGATAGTTGTGCTACTTGGCAAGTAGGTCCTTTTGTCTTGGTGTGTTGTTTGTCAAACTTTTCATTGTAGATCTTTTTGCTAGTTGTTCAAGCATCAAGATAGAGATGTATGTGTCTGCATGTTTATCTTGTAGATGATTTTGAAGACATTCCTTTATGGAATTTAGGGACGAATTTCTTTGTTCTTATCTCCATGTGCTCATGACAAAAATACAGGTCGATAACTATATTAATGATTTAATGCATGACATTGTGGACATATTATACAGTCATTTTTTACTTACACCGGGTTTGGACTGAAACCGGGGATGTAAACCGAATCAATAACCCAATGTATATTCATGCTTGACACGTGTTTGATTTTGACTTTGATTTGAGAATTAGAACACCTTGAAGGATATTCAAAATTGACCACTAGAAATGTGAGTATGTCGTTACCACCTTTTTCTACATTTATGAGAATGACAACGGTATACGTTTATGAGAATGACAACTAGAAATGTGAGTATGTCCTTACGAAATACATTTATGAGGATGACAACTTATGAGAATCTCATAACAACTCTATACGAAATGAAGAGTTTTGGATTTTAGACGAGCATATTTATATAATATTTTTATTTCAAAGTGATCAAGGCTTGTTTAACATATAGTTTTTAAAAACTCTAGCTTTTACCTTTTAAGAAAATTGAAAAAGGAAACGTCATTTGAAAACTTCTAGCTTTTACTTTTGGGAAATCTGCGAAAAAGTCCCAATATTTTAGCCTAATTTACGATTTAGTCCCATATTGAATTTTGTTTACAAAAAAGGACAGATTACCGGCTAAAACTTCGGATTAACCCTTCGTGGCTGGTTTCACAGATTTAGCCGGTATCTTGTCTTTTTTCGTTAATTAATCCAAATTTTGGGCTTTTTCATTAATTAATCAAAATTTTAGGGTTTTTTCATTATTTATTACCAATAAACCAAAATATTTGGACTTTTCTGAAGATTACCTTTAAACTAATATATATTATATGATCTAATTTAATATGTACTATTCCATATCTTCTTTCTTATGCTCTTCTAGGCTCACCGTGTGTTTTTATCGGTGTCGTCAAACCCAACAACGAAAATCTCACTCACAAGCCTCGTTAACTCCATCAATTTTCCAAAATTATATATTCACAACTCTATGATCATCTTTCAATCTCCAAATAAAGAATGGAGAAAATCCTTGTTGATTACGTGGATGTCCCTATTACCTAACCATGTCTTAAACCGTGGTTCCAACACATGGATGTTCCTATTAGCTAACCATGAATTGAATCCTACTTCGAACCCATACACTATTCACATTGTCCATAGTGTTGTTCACAACAAAATACGAATCCCACATGGTTTAACCACTGATACCTTGGCTTAAGTCTTACATAACCCTTGTTTCCTTACAATAGGGCTTAAAAACCATGAAGAATGAACCATTAAGCTTAAAAAACACAACATAGGTAAAAAAAACCAACTCGATATTATGTACTGAAAACCATGAAGAATGTTAACTCTAATTTAAAAAAAAAATGTCAACAAGCTATCCATCATAAACTATTAAAATATTAATTTGGTATACCTACGAGCTACGGTTCCAACACTCGGATGTTCCTATTACCTAACCATGACTCGAACCTTATTTCGAACCTATACACTAATGGCATTGTCCATAGTTTTATTAACAATAAAATACAAATCCCACATGGTTTAACCACTGATACCTTGGCTCAAGTCTTACTTGACCCTTGTTTCCTTACAATAGGTGTAACATCCCCACTCCCAGGTATAATATTTAATTAATTTGTATTCTTGTTGTCTTATCAACTTGATGAGTTAGAGGCCCCAACTCACCAAGTAGAGAGTGTTAATGGTCGTGTAATTTCTAGAGTCTACTCAACGAGTTGGAGGACCCCAACTCGACGAGTAGGAGCTGAGTTTGAAAACCCTAATTTTCAGGGTTGTGTCCTATTTAAAGGACCTTAAGCCTTCATTTCCGCCTCCCTTGTCATCTTAACACTCTGAGAGAAACCCTAATTAAGCTATATGCTTGTAGGAGAGAAATAGGGGATAATATTGCATATTGTAGTGCATTTTTTGGAAGAAGATTGAGGAGAAAAAGGCTTGGGACGAGAAGGAGCTCTTGGATCCATCAATAAGATTGTGTTCCGATCTTTATCAAAAACTTCATCATTTATTGGTTTTTGTCTTGCCAAAAACTAATGCATTCTGGAAGCCGCAAATAGACTAAAATGTAATAATGACAATTGTTGTGATGTTACGTTTAAGTCATAATGACAATTGGTGTGATATTACAATAATTGTCATTATTACGTTTTAGTCTATTTGGGGCTTCCAAAATGCTTTACTTTTTGACAAAAAAAACCAATAAAGGATGAACCATATGGGATTCATCTTATGTTGGGGCTTCTATAGTGTTGTAAGGAAACAAGGGTCAAGTAAGACTTGAGCCAATGTATCAGTGGTTAAACATGTGAGATTCGTCTTCTATTGTTAACAACACTATGGACAACGCCATTAGTGTATGGGTTCAAGTCATGGTTAGGTAATCGGAACATCCAAGTGTTGGAACCACGGTTTAAGTCATGGTCAAATAATAGGGACATCCACGTAATCAACAAGGATTTTCTCCATTCTTTATTTGGAGATTGAAAGATGATCATAGAGTTGTGAATATATAATTTTGGAAAATTGATGGAGTTAACGAGGCTTGTGAGTGAGATTTTTGTTGTTGGGTTTGACGACACCGATAAAAACACACAGTGAGCCTAGAAGAGCATAAGAAAGAAGATATGGAACAGTACATATTAAATTAGATCATATAATATAATATATATTAGTTTAAAGGTAATCTTCAAAAAAGTCCAAATATTTTGGTTTATTGGTAATAAATAATGAAAAAGCCCTAAAATTTTGATTAATTAATGAAAAAGCCCCAAAATTTGGATTAATTAACGAAAAAAGACGAGATACCGGCTAAATCTGTGAAACCGGCCACGAATGGCTAATCCAAAGTTTTAGCCGGTAATCTGTCCTTTTTTGTAAACAAAATTTAATTTGGGACTAAATCGTAAACTGACCTAAAATATTGGGATTTTTTCGCAGATTTCCCTTTACTTTTTAAGAAAATTGAAAAAGAAAAGGTCTTCTCATTTTTAGCTATAACAAAAAGTTTTAAATCCACAAGTTATTTCAAAAACTATTTGACAAAAAGTTATTTATAATTTTTCAAATTTACTTGATTATTTTTTCAGATCAATGGTGTGTTTTAATAAGTCTTTTTGTCTTCTAATTATTTTTGTTGAACATTCATATACAAATAAAATTTACAGTTGATAGTTATAGGATTCCAATTAGTTTTGACAAACATGCTCTCTAAAACTATGCTCTAAAAGTATTGCTTTTATTTAAATTGTGCTTATTACCTTTAATGTTTAAATAACTACAAGGAAGATAACGAAGTTTAAAACTTCATTGGTTGTTCGCTCCCACCTGACACTATAATTTATTAATAGATCCATCAAACTCCTCCATAACTCGTCTTGTTATGCATATATATTATAATTACAACATAAGTACATGACATCTTATCAAAAATGTATATAAACATGTTAAACTATAACAAGATTTATACGAAAACTACACTAAGTTGTCTGTTCTCATGATTAATTCAAAAGTTAATTATTTTACTCACAAAATGTCTTATGATGGGCCAAAAATAACCCCTAAATTTAGTCGTCCTTCAAGCTCCGACAATGAGCTTGGGACGATGCTTGAAATGTTGAAGAACGTTGTATTGGCTAGAAAAATAGAGGTTGAAAAGATGAAAGCAACTTCAAAGCGAATTGGTCAAGACAGACTGAATATTCTAGTTGTGATCGAAGAAAATACAGATAACTAATATGAAAGGTAGATAAGAAATGTTGAGCGTAGAAAGACAGCTTTTTGAAGCCTTGTGAATTATAAAACTTGAGCAAAAAATGAGTTGACAGAGAGAAATCAAAATTCTCATATCATTTCCTGAATTTCAGTTCAAAAAGGTTGTTGCTATGTGATATTGTATGCATGATCATATTTAACGAAATCTATGCACATATTTTAAGGTTTTCATTATGAGTTATTGTAGGAGTATGGTGTTAGTTGGCTAGATTTATTGAGAAAGTTGGTCGATTTTTATATCTCATAACATATTATAAATAGATGGCAAATAAACTTTTTTTTACAACTCACAAAAAAAAAAAAAAAAACTCTATTCACTCACACCTAATAGAAACAACTAGTCTAAAATGTCTTCATGTCTCTTTGGAATCCTTGCTAAACTTTAACCTCATTTGAAGAAGAGAGTGAATGCAAATACCAAAAGATGTGTGATATTATCAGGCCGAGTCTTCAATGGGGAAGTAAAATATGTAGAACTAGTGTTGCGTGATAAAAAAAAAACTCGAGTAAACTAACTTCATTCTTACATCACGTGGAGAGTGATATATTCTTCAAACAGAAATGGATCGATTGTGAGAAAACTAATACATATGTATTGATCTCTTTTTAAGGTGCAACGTCCCGAAAATAC